GGAGCCGCGCCACAGCAAGTGGCAGGGGACCGTTCAGGGCGCTGCTTTGCCCCGGGACCAAGTTTATTCGCTTTGTCCTTTCAGAAGTGTGTTCTCTTCGGTGCTGATCAGTCGGCAAACCACCGAAGGGAAAAAAAAATCGTGAGGTCGCTGCCTGCCTAGAGTGACGCTTTTCCCCTTGTTTATTCATTTTAAGTCCTGTAATTGGAAAAACCACCCAAGCTTTGTAAACTCTGGCCTCAATTCACTCTGCTGGCGGGAGTGTCTTTTTTTGGGAGGGTGAGTGGGTGGGAGGCTGGCTTTAATTTAATCCGAAAACAGAGGCTCCAAAGTCTAGTTAGTCATCGTTTGGCTGCCTTCTTCCTCGGGTTTAACCTTATTTCCACGGAGCGAGTCCTGCCGGGTTCTCCATTGAGGTTACAAAACAAAAAGAGCACAGAGCCGAAACTGGAGGCCGGCTCGGCGCTGACGTCTCTGCCCGGGTTATTTACGTTGGGGGTTTTTTCTCTTTTAAGTGACGGTGAAAGTCGCACTGTGGCCTGTGACAGTTCGTTTACTTCAAAGCCACGGGACACACACGGGGAAACTCGGCTCGGAGGAGAGGGCGGGGAGGGGGTATGCGTTTCTGGGAATCAGCCAAACAGGACCTGGTCTTTGAAAAGGGTACTTTCGTCAAGGAACTCCTGCTGGAGTCTTCCTCAACCAAAACAAACCTACAGGAGCATGTGTTTTTCCCCCTCCACGACCAGTCTGAAATATCCGATGAGAGAAGGGGTCCCCTAGCAGGGCTGAAGTCATAAAAGCAGACTTGACCGAAACAGCTGAGCAGCCCCCGGTGCGGTCCCCGCCTTTTCCTACGGGCGGCAGCTGCCCGGGTCCGAGTGTGGGAGAGTCCGGCCGGGAGGCGGCGGGACGGGCGGCCCGGAGTTTTAAAGAGCATGTGAGCATGACAAGTGTGCGCCGCAACGTGTTCGATTTCGAAACTGCCTTGCAATCCGGCCCGGAACTCGCAGCGTT